AAAGTGGAGGCAAATCGAAAGTGTTTCCAATAAGCTTATTTTAAATTAATAATACAAATAAATAATTCAAAAATAGGATGTTTAAAAAGATTTAAGAGTATTTAAAAAAGTTTAATTCACGTGAGCATTATTAACTGTTTCGTAATCAGATTAGACAATAGAAGAGTTTCGAATAGAACGGGTAAAGTTAAATAATGTTCGGGTTAATTGCAAAAGATTTTGATAACGGAAATCGTTTAATTCCTAAGCTTAGCAAACATGTTCTTTTGGACAGTTTCTTTTTTTCTGATAGCCAATATGATAGCCACATATTTAATTGATCCATTGATATTTGAAATATATAAATAGATATATTGACCTATATGAAAATAATAGAGGTTAAGTATGGAATTGCCGATTTGTACTGAAAATCAAAATTGTTTATGTTTTAATATTTAACAAATTTATTTAATCAGAATAGTTACCATTATTATTTATACATTGCATCCATCTAATAGAAAATCATTTATGCATTTGCGATAGAACCTTGAAGAGCTAGACTGCAGAAACTATCTGAAATCATTTTGTACTACCTCCTGGGAAGAAGAAGAAGTCACGTAGATAATTGTCCAAATCACGAAAAAAATGGTAGTCCGTTGGAGCAAGGTCTGGCGTATACGGAAGATGACAAATAGTTTCTAACTGCAGTTCCTGAAGGGTCAAAACGGTTAATCGAGTAATAATGGTGAAGATCGATTCATGAGTCGGGTCTGTTTTACTGCTAGTTTTGCCAACATTGCTCAGAGTTCAGCACAATTGATATCTGCCGTTATTGCTTGATCAGATCGGAGAAAACTATAGTTATTAACTTGGTTAAACCAGCATGGTGTTATTAACTTTAGTTTTACCAGACCAGACCACCAAACAGTTACCATTACCATTTTCGCAGTTTCCATCTTTCTTGTCTAAGTTGAATAACAAAAACAATTGAAAGTCGATATTCAAATCTTTTAAAAGAAGAACATCATAAAAACCATTTGAAAAAAGTTTCTTTCGAAAACCTCAACAAATGAAAATTCTTTGTCGATTCAAAGAACCTATTACAATAAAACGGCGATTTCATGCTTTAAGCCCTAATATTTAGAATTTAGCATTAGCAAGATCAGATAGAAAGATTTTGATAGTGGCTCCTGATACATTTTTGGAATTTAGCGGTGTGCCTTTACAATTGATTATCATTATTAACTGTTATATTATATGTTGAAGTATTTTAATGTTTACTTTTATATATAGTAAGGACTACAAAAAAATTATTAAGTCAAATGGAGAAACTAATTTTGGATATCAAGCTCAGCTAAATATAGCTGTAAGCGCTATATTAAATATAAGAACTACTTATATTAAATCAAATTAGTTGATTTTACAACAACTTTCTAATAAATGGGCAGATTATTCCGATTGGATCCCAAAAAATGTGTAAACATCCGACATCCTCCAAATTAATTACGCATAATGAAAAGACAACCCTCGTAATGAACAAGCGTTTTCTTTGATAATATTAAAATATCAATATGAAAAGGTCTTCAGCGTCCCAATACTCAAATAATATGTCCTCCGATTCGTTGCCTTGAGATAAAATTTATTTGAATTGGTATATATTGCCGTTTCTCCTTAAAATCAACTTGTTTCATTTCTACTTATTACACTTCCGAGAAATATCACATTAATATTATCTAGCTATATAAATAATTTTAAATTTTTGAAGCTGTCATATAAGATTGGAAATGAAATCTAGTTTTAACTGAAATTTTAATGTCCATTTTTGTTACGTAACTTTTATATTCCACTTCGAAAATTGAGTAATTAGAAATAAAACTGTTTTTGTGATATTAATGAGGATAAAATAGTTCCCACTGCGCATGTGTAAGCGACAAAATTAAAGGTTATCTTAATGAAAAATTCTTAAAAATCAACTTGGTTTTTGGTACCCTGATCTCAGAGTTTTCATTAAGAATATTTTCCAGTATACCGTTGTCAATGCAAATTTGATCAATTAAAATTATCCACCAGATTTTCTTGCTGTTCTCACCAATGAACGGTTATTATTATTAGAAATTATTGCTGCGTTATTTATTAAAGTTCCATGTAAACGAAGTATGACAATCGTTGTTGTATGAGTCTGAACAAAATTTGGCAGACCGTTTACATTTAAGTCCGCTAATACAATATCCGGCACGAAAGTAAACCTGAGATAAAGTTTTGTTTTGGTAACTAATATAAGTTTCTTAAGCATACTCACTAAAAGGAATAAAACCAAAATATTTTATTTAAAAATTAAAAAATACGACAGCCAAAATGGAACTGAAAATAAAAGAAACAAGTTGTATTATGGCTTAGCCAAACAAAAATTTAATTGCAGTGGGAACCACCTAGATTACAAACGTTCTAGGAAACCATAATATTTGTATCTTTTATTTTTAGTTCTATTTTGGCAGTCATCTTTTTAACTGACTTCAAAATCGAAAAAGAGGCTATTATATGTTTTGAGTTCGACAGCGATGTATTTTTTATGTGTTTGCCGACTTTTCCACTAATTGTTGGCCGATTTCAAAATCCATTTTTCGTTAAAATTCATCAGTACTGTTCTAGGTAGCTCTGTGGTTGGAGCATTCAAAGGTCATGGGTTCGAGTCCCACCGAGACAAATTGACTTTTTAAGCATTTTTCGTTAAAATATCCTTTTTTTATTTAACAGCTTAATGGACCGAGGTGTTTTTTTATCGGATCGGATTTTTTTCTATTTTAAGGAATGCATAGCGGTCGTTTTAGATCTTTGAGGATCAACATCTACTGGAAAATCTACTGGATGGCCCAACATTATCTTATCGTCACATGACGAGGTATGAATATTTGCATTTTTCCCACGACGGAAAATGGTGGTTTCGCTCTTTTGCTCCCTACATGATTTGCTCTAGGCTAGTTAATTATATGTCCATCGCCTTTTATTATGCATAGTGTACATACATTTTTTCGAGAGTATATATCGGTACAAAACAGTGTGTTGATGAATAACGAATGAATTATGTATGTGCTTTTGTCTTTTCATTATTGTAATTCTAATCTTAATACTTCATATTTTCTAATTTAAGACTTCATATTCTAATGGAGTAATTTTTCAATTATACTTCTCTGAATGAGATATTATGCCTTATTTCTTGATGGTTTTCACAGTATTGTAACGTCCGTGCACATTACTATAGGTAGAGTTTACTCTTCGAAAGGTTTATAGTCAAGTGCGGGCCGTTAATATTTTAAATTGTTATTTTTTTTATTAAATTTCGAGTGTTCGTGTTTTGCTGGTGAATAATCTCCCTTTCTGATCGAGACCAGCTTAGAGTGAGCATCATAGTATTTGGTTACTAAGTTGCCAGAGTATCTTACACCGTAAACATAAGAATCAATCGCATTTTACGAATTTCCCAAGTTAAAAGCACAACCTATATTGAATAAATAATATTGATTTGTTATCGTGATGGTATCGATGTGCATTTGTATTACAAAACTATTTTTGTCTGTAAAAATAAACTAATTGACGTTAATTTTGATAATAATTTAAATAGCCCTAATAAATAGAACGTTTCCATATAAAAAATAGAGAGCTATTGATCATCAAAACCAAGTAATAGAATGGTGTTTATAACCATAATATATCTTTTAGTTTAATGAAATACTGAAAGGAGTCACATCATTCGAATTAAAAGTATTATACTATAGAGTTTAGTCTACCATTTGATTCCTAGACCGCTTTTAAAACTTTTTCGCTTTAACTTCTAGCACGTAATTAATTACTCGTCTGTGGGTGTCAGAGAATTAACAACTTTCCGAACCTAACATACATTGAAGACTAAGAGTTGGTACCTGTTTGATCTATGATATTTGAGAGAAAATTTTAATTGCTGCATTTGAAGATGTACTACACAAGTTAAAGTTTTCTGTGGTCATGGAATGGAAAGTCATTAGTTTTACATACGTCATTTGAGAAGAATTGGTTGAATAAAATAAGCTTTGCTATACTGTATAAATACAGCGTCGAACACAATGATGTCACAGTAAGAGGTTTATTCTTTTTTTAGTCTGTTTAATTTTATTGAATCTCTAATGCTGCGCTGTATTCGAAGCTATATCCTCTTTATTCGTGGTGTTCAAATATGGAATAGACTTCTCTAGAATATTCAGGATTGCCCTTCCATCATGTGTTTCAAATTCAAACTTAAAGACTACTTTCTAGAACAATGTTCGTATGCATGGCACTGCTTTCATCGTATCTTATATATTTGTATATATGTATGTAGTGTATAGTTTATGTATTTTATATATCTTTTTTTGTTTGTTATTTTTTTTTCTACCGTAATATCATTTAACTGCCCTCCTATCAACCGCTTATATCTTACTCTCCCACGATTCCTAGGTTGGCTGGAAGAGATCTCTTCTAGAGAAAAGCTCACCGTTGTAACATATTCATTAACTTGTTTTTTATGTAAAGTTTTGAGTGCAATAAAGAGCATATATGAGGTTCTATATAGCCCTTAAAAATCAAATTATTTGACAATATATTTTGTTATTAAATTATCTCATTACATTTCGAGGTACCAGAGACTGGCGATTTTTTAAAGTATTTTCAAACATATATCTTGTTTGATTGCAAAAAAATGATAGAACCCATTTATTGCCTACTGTAAAGTATAATAATAGACTATTAGGAATTCATAAATTAAGCAATTAAATCTAATTCTTATTGATTTTTTTTTCATTAGGGCCTTCGAAAACAGTGGACATCATAGGTGGGACCCACTTTATTTACCCCCCTACTCTTAGTGACCCGATCCAAAATATTCAAAATAGTTACAGCCAAAAGAAGCCAAATCATAACAATTCATTTATCAGTTTATTTTAAAACTAAATCTTTTATAATTATATAAAATATATATAAACGTTTATACTAAAATACTAAAAAATACTCACTTAACAGTGGAGTTGCGCCAATCTTCAAAATTCAAATTAACATCACTAAAGTGATAGTTATCACAACAATCACTAAAACATACTTCGATTTAAATATTTAAGTCCATACTCTAGGTGTTGTTCAATATAATTTGTAATTCCGGAAGAGTCACCGTAATGAAGTTTTGTGTAAAATAATAATTCATCCTAATTTCGCTATGGGATTTCGTGTCTAGAATTATTTACGCGAGCGTGTAAAGCGCGCGCCGGCGGCAAGCGGCATGTCACTCGTCGGCCGCTCCCATCGTGACTGTGCCGAGCGGAGTAGCGAGCGGACTGCTCAACGCCGAGCCTACGCCACTCTCACAGAACAACTCTTCTAACATTGCAAGGGTTAACTCACTCTTATCGGCGTAATCATACCATTATAATAAAATTTTCTTCAAGTATCATATCGAGGCATTTTTATTAATACAGACAATTTTTGAACTGAAATCCGTAAACGTTGTTATTTTCTAGTATAATTAGGCTGGTGATGATGAAGAACAAAGATCTACTGGTTGAAAAAAATACAAATTCCATACATGCGAAATCCTTTAGTGTATCATGAAATCCTGTTTTTATAATTGCGATCAAAAGAGAAATCATCGTTTATGTAAAAAGTTGTATAGGTCTATATTTATGTTTATGAAAATATACTCTCCACTGTTATTTTATTGTTATTACGATAAAATACATAAAAAAATTTAAGTGATGGCCCATTTTGTCAACTTTTTCCTTCTCTTATTGATGAAAGTTCAGTGAAAACAACCAAAAGAATTGAAAAATACCGACAGACAAACAAAAAATGGAAAAAATATACTTTATATATAAACATACATATGTGAAAAACAGTTATTTTAATATTACAAACAGACACTAGTATAGATAAAATTATAATTTTCAAGGAATTATAACTATATGACTAGTACAACCTGTGATATTAAAATGCTTGTACCAATGTGCTTCCGACGAGCTACGTGACAGACAAAACACGCCGATTATTATAAAAGCAATTTTCGAGAAGAGAACACAGTGATTTATCGCTAGCTGTTACCAACATCTTCTATTCTCGTGGAATCCTAATCCCGTTGTAATTTCAGCAAACGTTTTTAGTGGTTCTTTATCTCTTATATTTGTTTAATTTCATTATTTATTACCGCGTAGAGCACCTGAGTCAATTATATTTTTTTCTTTTTCTTGTTATTAAAAGATATTGACATATTTTTTCTTATATTTTCACGCATACTACTCATTAATTAAACTATATTTAAACGGAATAATTCAAGATGTAGATTTTTCAAAAATATATTCATGCGCACACTACCTAATTTAAAAGCGTCGAAGCGCATTTTTGTGATACGCCTGATGAGTTCGTACTGTACATTGTGGTGAAAAGAAGTTTTACGTTAACACGTTTACTATTAAGCGCATAGAGATTTGTAATTCTTGATAATTACCACAAGAGGCGACGGCGGCGAGTTTAAAAAACACGGTGTATGCAAGTCTTAAGCGAAAATTACATTATTTATTTCTGCTTTTAAAGTAGATATTAAAATACATATATAAACAACGAAAGTGACAAGTTCGAATGTTTCGGTAAGATTGTAACCGTCTTCCAGAAACCCTAAAATGCCAGAGGCGATGGCGTCAGTTATAAAATACTTCGTGCTAAAACGTCACAGGATATCCCCACTCCCCACTTATCAATAACGACCGGACGTATGTTGCTGAAAAGCTCTTTCATGACTGTCATTTGTTACTGCGGCGATCTATCTCAAATCATTGCGGGAGAAAGTTACGGCTAAAATAAAAGCTTGTGTCATTTCATTGTATACGAAAAATCGTTTGTTGTCCTTCCAGACTTGTGGTTTCTAAATCTTGTACAAAAGTGCAAAGCAGATTTTATATTTAAACTCGTACGAATTAACATGATACAGCGCCTATTCTATTTGTCCTTAAACGAAAATTCGGAAAATTTTACAACAGGACCTACCTCTGTTGTATCATAAATTACAAAATACGTTTCTTAGAAGTCGTATTAGCATTTATTAAAATAGACTTTCGGGTGTCATGTTAATTAAATTGACACAGAGCAATATAAGTGCAGTTGCTACTGAAACAGACCAGCATTCGCAACACCCACATAGGATTTATTATATTCCTCTTTTGATAAAACCTCTTTTTTTCGTTAAAAACGTTATATTTTCCCCTAGCGCGACTGCTTAAAAATATTTCTATTAATATCACCATTTTCTCGGAAATTAGAATCCTCTAAAACGTATCTAAACAAAAACTTTTCCACAATTATTTGAGACTGACCGCAAACTGACCGAAATAGTGAAGTGACATTAACGAAAAGTGCTTCTAGCAACAAATGTCTACTTCCTATTGTTAGTTATCCCATATACTTTTAGTGAACTTACTTCGAGTAGTAAGCTTTATAGTTCCCAAATGTCTCACTAAACTAGATCTACCTACTTTAAATACAGACAATAAAAAAAAGATAAACGTATGAATTAATTAAAGCTATTACAATCATTTTTTTATCATTGTGTTCAAAATAAAATTATTACAAAATTCTGGAATACCTTATTACATTTCAATAGATCTGACATAAAATCTAACAGTTAAAGTCCGTTGAATCATTATTAGTTATTATTTTAATCATAAACGCAAAAAAATAATTACAATTAAAAAGAAAAGAGACTTTTAATATATTTTAAAAATTTACCTAAAGCTCCATAAATAGGGATGATGACAAAGTTTTGTTTATTAGTTGGGTAGATATATGTAGAATATTAAACACGACTTTTTTTTTCATAATCACGGCGATATATTGAGTTGAAATGTCGCATGACGTCACGCTTTTGTACATTTTCTACAAAACTGTGACGTAGCGAATCCCCACACCTCAACTTTAATGCTCATTATCTAAGCCATTTCTTGTTGAATTGAAGCAAAAAAAAAATATTTCTCTATTATCTGACTGATGGACTGAATAGAATTTCTTTTTTCTTAACTCAGTCATAATCCGTATTGGTCACACCTGTAAGGTCAAAATATACGGCCATAAAAAACTGAGAAAATGCAACAGATTAGACTTACAAGAAGCAGATTATAAAATAAAAATTCACGGCACAGCTCTCGAGACGAGTCGACTCATGATGAGGATAATACAAGTTGAAATAAATAATCAGTATGAGGTGAAAAAAAAAAATTGTGGTTCTGAAAATTACCTTCCACAGATATACGTTACTGGTAATCTGTATAATTCGGATATTCTATACATACGCATGTTGTTTTTTTATTGCTTTGCAAGTGTTTAAGTTATTTTTATATTTTAATTCATTATTATTTAATTCATTAATGTTAAATAATATTTATTTTTTAGTTTTGAATTTAATATGTTTATTTTAATGTACGTTAAATATATAAACGGTCAGTTGCAAAAAGTCCATTGAGATTTAATGACGCCTTTGAGCTCTAATGGCAATGTCAATGTCAAATTTGTTTCGGTAATGTCGCTTAAAATTAATCACAGAATAGACGTTTGTGCAACTAACTGTATAATTACTTGATTTTGAATTCTAATGATTAATATTTGATTAAATTAATAATAATGATAATTGCACATATTAAATCGTAAAAATAGGGAAGAGCACTGGAGTTCGATCATCTCAGGGTTTGAGATTCAGGTTTGTTTTTGATTATTTCTGGAATTAAATATTATTCGTCTTATTTTATAGATAATTTTAACTAGCTTACGTAATGTATATACAACCAAATTCTTCCAGTAGAAAAAAAATTGAAAGTTAAATTATGAATTTACTTTAGCTAATGTTTTTGTTTTGGAACATTGTAATTTTTGGGAAGTAATGAATTAATATTTATATTATTTTACAATTTATATTATTTATCATAGACATGAGAATTCGAATAACTTTTAAAAATAGTTAATAGATCTTTTCTTTCACACACATAACCGTCTTTATATTCAGCATTGGATAGAATATACAGTAAAAAGTATAACTTATGTAAATTGTCATACAATACCTAAGCGTCTTTGATATTCTTAACATTGCTTAGATAGTATAGCAGTAGTGTATACTGTAGGTATTATACAGATTGCCGGTAACATATGTACACCCTTGTTAATGATTGTATCATTTGATGAGAACTGTGTCTAAAACCGTAATCTACCACAATCCCTTTCATAGCTATAGATACTGTTGAAGTCGCAATTGCTTTCGGAAAGAATTATATAGATTTTAAAATTAACCAATTGGGACCGTGGATTTATTGGACATTATTTTTCTAATATCAAAATAAGATTTAGACAGAAAGAAAAATTAGATGAATTACTTGAAAAAATCAAATATTGAATGCGTCTATGGCGCAATATAAGCTAAACAGGTAAATAAGTGATCCTGAGAAAGGTATTCTTCGTTAGAACTGTGGCCCCTTTTTTGAGACAAAAATTATAATCAATAGTTCAGCACAGGTTTTTCCACTCGTGAAAGAAATGTGAGCCAAAGAACCAGCAAACTTTTAAAGAATTCCGCCTCTACAGTCCTAGCACACCCTTTGTTATTTTTCAGATATTTCATCAAAAGTCTCTTAAAATTGAAAACAAAAGAACGAAATTTCCTAATTTAAGTATGTTTTGTGGCAAAATATTAAACAGAAAACAGATTAGTATGGGAGAAAAAAAATATATTTAGGTAGCAATCAGGGCAGTATTTTCCCTGCTAAAGGCCCCTGGCAAAACAAATCTCGGGGTCCCTTTAGCTACTGAAATTCATGTGACGTAATAACTTCAAGTGCTATGAAATAGAATAGACGAAAAAATAATAATGTATGCTTGCATTTTTTTATTTCGACACGGGGGGCCCCTAAGCAGTTGCATGATCTGCCTTTTAGTCAGCCCTAGTGGCAATAGTGTTACGTACAGACTAGACTTTTAGTTTTGATCCTGTCAAACTTCGTTTTAAATTCTGAGCATAACTAAGAAAACAGAAATTGTATAAAGGTTGATAATTAAAAAGTTCCCAACAGATAATCAATTATTAGTCACAAAGGAGGCTATAATAATAACAGAGGCGACAATAGAACTCCTAACAAACGACATAAAGAATTATTACTCATACCTTTATTATCCCGTTTGATTGATTTATGAGTTTTCAAATGAAAATTGTTTTGTTAGATGGCAACACGATATTTGTTAGAAATTATTTAATTTATAAATACTATGTGTATAGGTACTGTCGAAGTAGCTTTCCGTCAGCGACTTCGCGCGCGTGGTCCCTAGAGAACTTTTTGGTTG